TGTTACCGCCTTCTGATGTTATGACTGCCTTTTCGAACTGCAGCCATTTTTCCGTTGCCCATTAGTGTTTTTTTTGCCTTTACAGTTTGAAAGTGTGCTACTACCGCACTTGTTTCAAAAAAAAATTAGTAACTTATTACAAAATGCAATCAGACTTGTCATTCAGTTATTAACTTATTAGTAACTTATTACAAAATGCAATCAGACTTGTCTTTCTCGCAGTCAGCATGCATACAAACAGATGAGGATCAAGCTGGCGACTTGCGCCCACACAAAGCTCATAGATAACGTAGTCAGGAACACAGTTCAGATTCAAACTTGTCTCATACGGCTATTGCCGATCAACTGTAACCCAGCATCTTGTCCGCACACACACACGGACTCACTCTGGATCTCCCTGGATGTCATGCACACATACACACGAAACACTCACACACACAGACTAACACTCTACTACTAACCTACGGCAGCTATGGCTGCCTTCTTCTACCTCTACTGACAACAAGCGGCTATGGGTGCGTCTTCCTTCTCTTAGCCCACTTCCTCTTCGGGCACCTGCAGACCTTCATACACAAGACGCTCCAACAGTGCTTCCACACGGCTCACAGGCAGAATGAATGAATGAGTTGACGCAGCCTCTTTATTCATACTTCGGATGGTCGTAGGTCTGCCCCTTGACCCTGGGCCCGGGGTGCACACAGTCCCACATGGTACTTGCTGACTTGACGAAGTGCGACTGGGACTGGGTACCGCTGACTAGGACAGGGAGGAATTAGGACTGCCCTTTGCTGACTGTGCTAGGACTGCCCTTTGCTGACTGTGCTAGGACTGCCCTCTGCTGACTCAGATGCGGACTGACTCTAAGACTCACAAAAGGCCACTTCCGAAGGTTCCAGAAGGCCGTAGACTTGACCCTTTGATACTGTAGCAGCTATGACCTTGACCCTTCGACACTATAGCAGCTACGGCCTAGACCACTGCTATTGATTCCTAAACAACAGACCTACAGCTCAAGAGCCAGCGACTAGTCTATATACCACAGATAAACATATGACTTTCAGAACACAGGTCGCGGGTTCAACTACACGGGTCCACGAGTACTGTACACTGGTGAGGGGGAGGTCTAGGGATCGAGCCCTGGGAGCTGCATCTGCTACCGTAAAGGTGAAAACCGTTTCACTCTCGCCGGGTTAAATTCAAGGTCCTCCGAGAATACTTCAACGCAAGGCAAGACCTTTACCTTTGTTTTCTCTGTCGTAGATGTTCACTATGTCGGGAGCGGTCTCTAGAAGCTCTGTTCTTGTAAACCAGCGGTCGTCCTCAGGTTCCTGATAAGCGAACCTGACCTTGCACTGCTTCTGTGGACGACCCCTACCTCCGGTTCTGAACACATCCTCTTCCAGAATGCGATCTAATATCATATGTGCCATCCATATGCGCCTGAATCATCGATCGACGCGACGGAAATTGCTGGCCGGTGACACAAGGTAGTAGCTTTGATGCACGAAAGACTGGGTATGTGTGGAGGTGTGTCGGTATCTCTATCGTGTAGGAAGGCCCATCCTCTCCGCCCTTTACTTCTAGGACAGGCCATGGTCCCCTATATGCAGGTAACAGCTTTTGTGAGACGTTCTCTTCTGGGGCAAACTCCTTAGATTTGACCCAGAGTAAATCACCTACCTGGAACTGCGATGGGCAACGATGCTTATTAGCTTGCTCTATCATTTTGTGCTGAGCTTTTCTCAGATTCTCAGTCACCCTCGCGAATTATCTCTCATGCTGCAGCACAAATTCTCTAGTTCCAGGTGGCAGTCTCTGTATCTGGTCACGACTCAGTCCTTCAAACGGCCTGCGTGGTCTGAAGAACTTGTGCAGTTCATTCGGAGTTCGGCAAGTAGCTAGATGGACACTGTTATTGCAGGCGCTAGCTACTTTAGGGAGCATCTCATCCCAGTTGATCTGATCGGGTCTAATATACATCCTGAGTATTTTCTGCAGGATCTTATTCATCTGTCCAGTCTGACCATTAGTCTCTGGATGACGACCAGACGACATCAACAACTTTGAGCCGTATGCTCGCATAAGCCCCTGCCAATGCTGGCTAGTAAACCGCGTAGCTCTATCACTAACTATAGATAGCGGAATACCATGCTCACTTACCCAGGCATCAAAAAACTTCTCTATCACTAATTCTGTACGTGCCTCAGAGGGCGAAGGAACAAAAACTGCATACTTACTAAAACGGTCAACTATGACCATGACTTGGCTCTTGCCATGCCTACTCCTCACCCCAGCATCCATGAAATCAATGGACACAGACTCTCCGGGTCCTAAAGGGATAGGCAAGGGTCTGAGAAGACCCAATGGGGCTCGCGTCGTAGTTTTGTTGCACTGACATACCTTGCAACCACACACAGACTCTATGCAATCAGCCTTCATGCCAGGTCACGTGTAGGCACGTGTCAGGTTGGCCAATGTCTTTTGCCAGCCAAAGTGTCCTTCTGTGTCTTGACATTCCCCTAAGATCAGACTCCTTATCTCTTCATTGTTGGGGATGCACACGCGATCTACGACGTCTGTCTTCTCAAACAGCAACCGGTTCGTGGTGCAATAATCTCGTTCATTGGCTGGGTCCTCCTTCACTCTCTTCGGGAGGTCACTGTAGATAGGGTCTTGCGTGTACGCATCTCTAACCTTTTCCTATAAGTTTGTCCATATGTCCAGATTGTGAAGTATAGCTCCAAAGTAGTCGGCTCTTCTACTTAGAGCATCTGTGACCACATTGTACTTTCCCTTCACAGGGTTGAGCTCGAAGTCAAATTGGTCTATCTCTGCGGCCCACCTAGTAAAGCTTAGGTGTCATCTTGGCTTGAGTCTTCAGCCACTTGAGGGTCCCGTGGTCTGAATAGACTTTGAAGTGCCTCCCAAGCAAGTAATGTCGCCAATGATCTAATGCTTGCCTGAGAGCGTAGAGTTCCCTCTCGTAAATAGAGGCTGCTTCACGTACATCTCAGAGAGAGATAAATGTCTAGAAATTTGTAATTAGCGGATGAAAAACTCCACACCTAAAAAAAAAAATAAAAAAAAATAAAAAAAAATAGAGGCTGCTACCTTTTTCTAAAGGCAACCTAGCAGACATGAACTCTATAGGCCTATACCCATTGCCATCGTCATGCTGTGGAACAGCACCAATACAGTACTAACTCGCATCAGTTGTAACGACAAAAGGTAAGGATGGATCAGCTACCTTGAGGACTGGATACTCTATCAAGGCCCGGTTCAACTTTTTCAGGGTCGATGTGCAGTCTTGGTCCCACTTCCAGATTCCCTCTTTCTTTAGCAGCCTGCGAAGGGGAGCGGCGATTGCAAAGAAGTTTCTCACGAACTTCCTGTAAGAGTTGGCCAATCCTAAGAACGACCTTAACTCTGTAACTGTACGCGGAGTTGGTCAGTCTCTAATCGTTGTAATTTTGTTGTCCTCAGGTTTTATTTCGTCTCCATCTAGGACGTGGCCCAAGAACAACATCTATATCTTGGCCCACTCGCACTTCTTTGCATTGAGCTTAAAGTTTGCTTCGCGCAACTTTTCCAAGAACTGCCTCATATGAGCCTCGTGCTCCCGGAGGGTCTTACTAAAAATCAAAATATCATCAAGATAAACAACTACGAATTTATCTAACCACGACCTAAACAAATCATTCATGCAGCGCTGGAATGTGGCAGGTGCGTTGGTTAGTCCAAAGGGCATCACTATAAACTCATAGTGCCCATATCTAGTCTTAAACTCGGTCTTGTACTGATCATCAGGGTGAACCTCTATCTGGTAGTACCCTGACTATAAGTCTATCTTTGAAAAGTACTTGCAGGCCTGCACCCGATCCGGTAGATGATCTATTCGGGGCAGTGGCTCTGCGTTTTTGATCGTGACTGCGTTCAGACCCCTATAGTCAATACCATAGTTGCGGCGCACCAGTGCGCAGTGCGGGGCGGGGCCGTGCGCACTGCGCTGTGCG